CTTTAATTTCATTTATATTTGTTAATTCCAAGTCTAAGCTTTTCTGACAGTGATCACCAATATTTAAGTTCAAAGTATAGCCCTTCAATTTTCTCTTGTAGGTCCTTATAGATATTAGTCCTTAGTAGGTAGAATATTCTCTCCTATATTTGAAAAGTATTCATTAAAGGAGTTTGCAATCTCTTCAGAATCAGTTAGTTCCCTATCAACTATCTTTATTGAATTTATTGAGGTATAATTACTAAAGACCGGATTTTAAGCATTTTGCTTATTGCTGAATTTTATAAGCAACCATAAGATTATTTAATTTCTAAACGAATTATACTACACTAAGTATATTGCGATAGCTTTTATTATGCTTTTTTAAAAGTTTTTATGCTTTTTTATCCGTTCGTGCTTGTTTTAACTTTTTTCCGCATATTTAAATAATTTTAAAAATATTGCGAAACATTATACGAGAATAAATGTCCATATAAAGTAAATTTGGCAACTTTACAAGGCGTCACGCTTTGTCCGTAATCACCTTGTCTGATAGGAGTTCTTCAGCATGTTTGTCCTGTGATTCCAAAATTACTATACTTTCCGTCTTTACTACTTCCTTCACTTTCGCCGCTGTTAATGTCTCTTCCACAGAGTCGACTTCTTTCGCCATTTGAGAGTTTTCCTCTGTTGAAACAGTTACTTTTGATAGCATAATACCTGGTAAGTTTTCACAAGAGTTATCAAATTTAGCCACATCATCTCCTTCAGAGACAACTGAATCTGTTATTTCCTCAACTAAGGACAGTTTCTGATCAGAACTAGCCACTTCGCGCTCCACCTGAATTTCCTCTAAATGCTCCTGAGCAATTTGTTCATTCGTGATGTCGACAATACCATCTTTTCGATCAATTCTCTCGATCGGCTCTTAAACTAGTGGATTTTCATATTCTGGCTCTTCCACTACTGCAGGAATGTCCACGATTTCAGTGTTTTCCAAATCATCAGTCACTTTCTCCATGTTCTTTAGTTTGCCTTCAACGGTTGTTTTCGGGTCTTCAAATTTCTTAGCGTTGTCGTCCATTTTAAATCTCATTTCTTTCACCACTTTCTCCATGTCGTCCATTTTGTCATTCATTTTGTCCATTTTTTCGTCCATTTTACTACTGTTGTCGCTGATTTCGTCCATCATTTTCCTACTGTTGTCGCTCATTTCGTCCATCATTTTCCTACTGTTGTCTTCCATTTTGTCATTCATTTTGCTCATTTCGTCTTTCATCTGCATGAGGAGTGCAATCAAACTGGGGTTCTCCATGCCAGGCTCTTCCTTCTTTCATTTACTTCTTGTTTCCATCAAAATTCAACATGGATTCTGGTAAATCCCACTTCTGACACCAAATGTACCGTGGATGGCCGGGTATAAAAATCTTTCTTTAGCTTCCAACTTTTATTCAACTCGGTATAACTTTAAATACGGAACAGGAACAAACTAACTTCAAAATTACCGTCAACCCGGTCGTTGCTGTCACCCCACTCCCCCCGTCTGGTTCTCGTCGCCGCTTATATAGATTCCTTCAGGTAACCCAGATGGTTCTCGAAATCTCCAGAACAGGTGCGAAACTTCCCGCTTGTCAGTGTCATATTTGACAGTAAATGGGGCGCAAATGGGGCTCGCATTTACTGAAATACCATGAATTTCGATCCCCCCATTCCAAACGTGAGTACCCCAGGCCATTTTCTTTACAATATTTTCCTATTGTATTGTGGATTGTTTGTAACAAAAAATACGACGTAACTCGCATTTACAAACTGAACGGCATAAAGAGCACATTAAAAAATATGAGGAAAATCAAAATATGCAACAAACTATTTTGACTTCATTAGCTTCAAATTCTCGTTCTAATGAACAAAAACAATTTAATTTCGATTTATGCAGTGCTATGGTTAAACCAGCCATTCCTCTGAATAAATTACAAAGTAGTTCGTTTAGACCGTTTCTCGAAAAATATTTAAAAAAAACTTTCCAGATGAGAGTACTCTTCGTAAAAATTACGTCAGGCCAGTTTATGATGAAACAATGCAGCAAATTAAAAGAATTATCGCAAATAATTATATATGGTTTACTGTAGATGAAACAACTGACACATGTGGGAGATATATAGCCAATTTAATTATAGGAGTCTTGAATGAAGATATTGTCACAGAGGGATTTTTAATATGTTAGTAGAAATTAACAAAAACGAAGAGTAATAATATTTCTAGATTTGTAGATGAAGAGTTAAACAAGTTTTTTTTTTAATCGGACGACCAATTTAGATGGTCGCTATTTAATCGTTTCCTGTAAAACTAACATATTGAGGGATGTGCCAGTTCACCTATTACATCTCTATTACATCCGAAAGCAAGCGCTCCGATTTTGAAGCGCCCATTTCAAGTTTCCCAACCAATCCCCACCCCTCCTAATTTCAGCTCCGCTACTCCAGCGCACTATACAAGGTTTATACAAATTTTTGTTCATGATGCACACGTGCAGTGCAATTTTTAAAAGCAGATGTGAAAACATCCTAGAAAAATCTATCGATTAGTAAAGAATTTATTGTTACACCATTAACCGTTACACCACATACCCCGCCGTACTTTCAAAGTTAATATCTCAACATCTGCTGAACGAAATTTCATATATTTTTTTAAAAGCAGGGTGTTGCCGAGTCTTCTTTTTCCATAGTTTGCGATTTGCTCTCACTCGCAAGTCCCGCTTCACAGGCTAATTTGTTTATAAGCCAAAATTTTAAAGACTTTTTAAAACCGCTCAAAAAGGTTAGTTTAAGGGTCCAAGGTGTAAAAGCGCGGGCGCAAAAATATACTCATAACTTTGAGCCTGGCAGAAAATTAAAAAAATGTGATTTTTTCCAGGTAGGTTAAATAACAACTGCATATATTGCACATATTAACAACTTAAAAATGTGTTTCCGACAACAAAGACACCGACGCCGAAAGTCCGTGTAAGAAACAAAAGTATGCCAATTAATCTAATAAATAAATTTGTATTAGACATAAATTCTGTAAATTTAGTGAAATTGTCAAAATTTTATAATTATTTATAATTGATCTCCTGTTATTCAATGTACTATATGCATTAAATAACAATTAAATTAATTTGTAACATTACTCGTTAATTCTTCAATTTAATACTAATTTACAA